CCTGAGCCCTTGTCAGGTGGTTTGCGGTGTCCTAGGACGGCGCTAGCATATGTGCGTGGCGGCGACATCGATGTGGTCCCTCGCCGCCAGCACAATATGAGGGCTATATAGATGTAAAATGGGCAAGCTTGCCATCGAGCAATGCCTTGGTAGCTCAGTTGGTTAGAGTGCCAGTCTCATAATCTGGAGGTCGTGGGTTCGATCCCCCCCCGAGGCAATTTATTTTATTTTTGTTCCCGCGGCTAAGCGCTCTCTGTGTCTTTTTTCTAACCAAACTATCCATTGCAATTGATCACTTGGTCATGGATGGAGGCTTGTTCACTGTCTTTTTTCCCTCCTGGTCCAATCCGCTTCGAAGTATGATCGTGGAAAACATAAACAAGAAGGCCGGCGTTGTACTTATAATTATCGCACTTTTCTCTGGTCAACTCAGTAAAGTGCGTCAACAGCTTTCCTGCAGATGAAAGTCTTATGGTCTGGACGAGCTGTGCATCGACTTGGACTGGATGGTCATTGCAGCTTCTCGGGGTTGGCTTTCATTCTCAACCTCACCCAGGTTAGCATGACTAAGAGTTCAGACGCATTCGGGAGTTTCATCTGTCCTGGACATGATCGAGTGATCAAATGTAATGGATGGTTTGTCCAGAAATTTGGGTGGGAAAGAAAGTGTAGCGGCTGCTTCGCGCAAGCCGTTGCTCCGTTGGGCTTTCGCATCAAGTCTAGATTCATCTGTAGCACACTGATTGCGATTTGTTGCCGAACGCGCTCTGAGGTTGCAGGCGAAGATTTTCTGGTCACGCTTCTACACCGCATTTGCACCGCATTTTTCCTTTATGAGAAGCTATCGGACAAGCTGGCTCCGAGGAGTCCGCGGAGAACGTAATGTTTTCTCCTCTCAACCTTTTTTTCGCTATCAAAGCTTCTCCTCCGTCCACAACACAGCATGTCTCGAGCCTCGCCGAAAGCAGCCTTTTTCACCATTTCGTACCATTGACATGTTTTTTTTTTGTGTCTGGTGACCTTTGTGCAGTCGCCAGCGGCCTTCCGCCCGACCTCGAGCCAATCTGACTCGAAGGCTTGCTTAGCCTTGGATGGGAGGACTTCGCAGCACGATCTAGACATGGACGACAGCATTGATATGCAAGCTACATGTCCTGGGCCTTGAGGCGTGGTTCGCGATCTTCGTTCTCCCACAGCAGCCTTTTTGCCGGTCGTGGAGCAAATTTCGTTCTTCAGCCTTGCTTGTCTGTCCTCACTACGATCTACGGCATGCGATATCTCTCTCGCCTTCGAGGTCGCGCACTGCTCAAGGCAATACTTGCGAGACTCAGGAAGCTTTTTGGTCTTCGTCGACAATGCTTTCTTTTTTTGTTCTACCCTCGTTCTGTCTTGTAGGTGGACATGTGATCAAGCGCTGATCGAAAGCAATGCCTATATTGCATACCTATCGACTACTGTGCAGAGAGCAGACCCTCAAGAGATGTGTCCCGTACATGCTCGCCAGGGAAACCCAGCCAGTGCATTACCATTGACGTCGGGCGGCAACTTCAAGCCTGCCTGCGGAATCGTTACGCGGATGATCGGGGACGCATAGTAGAGAAAACATTGCTTTCACTTTGATGACGTCCAGAACGCTTATGACAATGGCGACGGCACCGAGCAATCTTCTGATTCCGCAAACGAAAAAGTCTGCGACACTCCTCTGCTTCCGTCAGAACTAAACTGACTGGCGTAAATGGCACGATTTCGGAGTATGTTAGTAAATCATATTATCTTCTCTAAGGCGGTTCACGAATCACTCGTGCCATCATCGGCTGAGGCGAATGTGTGACTTGGCAGGACTTGCGTGGCCTTCGAAGTACAGGTGCTTCTGCTATGCAACGAATGGCTTTCGCGAAGGTGCATCGAGCGGTGTCATCGAGCGGAACATCGGTTCTGGCGAGCAAATGGTGTCGCCGACAGCACAGGTTTCCTCGTATCGATCGCGATGAAATACGCTAGAACGGGCCGCCATTGGCATTTGTCGTGTCATTCGACCAGAAAGTCGGCTCAGACGCATCGCGACGGCGAATGAGCAGCATGCCAGACCCTAGACTTCGCTCCATAAATCTGCCTGGGCGACTCTACTGCTCTCAGAAACGGGAATTGCTTGACAGCTGACTGTTGAAGAGCCTATCGGAACCTGCAAGAGGACAAAGGGATAGCTCCCTCAGCTTTTCCACAATGCCTTTCGATATGATCGTAAAGCCGAGAGGTGCCCTAGTTTGCCCTTTGCAGCTAGCGGAGCATCTTGTGATCGGATGTCTTTTTCAAGAAATTACATGGAATGCTTGCCACTGGTTCTACAGATATAGACAAAGGGTCAGTTTAAGTGAACACCTCCTTCAAAAATGTCGTCACAAGCCCGAGCCTGGACTCCTGAATGGCCGGCGGTCGCTTGGCGCGCCTTGGCTCCTTGCGCTTCCTTTCTTCCAAACGCCATGTCTACAGCTCGCGACAGCTATCACTCATCCCTGACCTCACATACTGCGAGCACCAGTGAATGGCAGGCCGTGCCGAGCGCACAGACCTCTAAGCTTCGCAATGTGACGTTTCGCTGTCGCTGCGGAGCTGCGTAAATTCCGTGTCGAGAAGCGGTCGAGCCAATTCAGAAGATCTCTGAAGGGAGTCCATAAGCTATTTGACGTTTCCAATATGTGGATGCCTTGATTTGCAGCACGACGCTCGGGCTGAATGGGTCGGAGGCGGCTCGCGTTCCAGCCCTCGTCTCTCAGAAGAAGCAGGGCCGGACCTTCAAAGGGAACCTAATCGAGGTCGACGAACACATCTCGGATCTGCCATCCGTTGTTTCAGCAAACGCAGAAATGTCTATCGCCGATGGAAGGAGGACGACGAGAGCAAGAGACAGCAGCAGCGACATCCCCTCACTTAGTTGCCAAAGACCTGAAGTACCTCTTTACCTAAGGAAGAAGGGTCGCTTGCTTCGCGCGAGGCTCTTTACGTCGAGCGCTTGCAGCGCGACATGCTGCTCCTTGCGTCGAGCTCTTGCCTTGTCAGCAGCACCACGTCTCTGCTGCTGACGCTTGGACTCGTCGTCCTCCTTCTTTCTACGATACGCGTTTTGCGCATTGGCTGAGACCGCGGGCGGCAGTTGCGAGATGTCGACCCGACAATCTCAATCACGTCCAACCGGACCTTGAGCCTGTTTGACAGGCGACAGAGCGTGTTCGATACGCGCAAAGCAAATGTTCCGTCTTTCTTTTGAAAGAAGGTTCGAACCTTTGACGACTAGGTGAGGGCTGGAGCCTGTGGAAAACTTCGCGCTGCCTCTGAGCGTTCTCTTTCTCTTCATTCGGGACCGTCTATAAAGAGTACTGTAGCTCAGCCCATATCTTCGCGTGATGTGCACAGTTGTACATAGTTGTTGCTGAAGACGCTCGCGCTCGTGACTTTGTAGACACACTTTTGCAACTTGCAATCTTTACATCGCCTTTGGCGAGGATGCACCATCAGCCAGATGTCCACGGGAAACTACGGTTAAAAACGTGACAGCAAAGAATCTCGGGGGACACCGCCCTCGGTCATCACCCGGCTAAAACCGTGAGGAAAAAAAATCCTTCGACCCGGGATCGAACCAGGGACCCCCAGATAATACTTCCAATTACAGTCTGATGCTCTTCCAGCTGAGCTATCGAAGGGCATAGCCAGGATATTTGTCAGAAATATATAATCGTTGGCAAGTATTCGTGCTCCGCGCCGTATTGGGTCTCAGAACACGTTCCATCCGCCTTTTACTGATGGAACCCGGAAATCCGGTACACTACTCCGTACTATT